AAATGCGTGTAATTAACGAAAAGAATTGTTAAGTCGCTTAGGTAATAGCAACTTCCACGCACCTATCGAAATACATAAACTCATTTTGCACTTGTGCTATCATTGATTCCGGGCAGCGCTTAGCGGTTCCTTTCTAAATTTTGCGCTCTACATCGGTCTTTGTAAGAGATATTTCAATGTAACCTATTCTCCTCAATCTTGCCCTCCAACTTCATTCAAAGAGAAAAATTATAAAGCCTTAATAAATTTATCTAAGATTACAGACTAGTACCTCTTAAAATGATTCTACAGCAAGCACCTCCGTCCTAAAAAATGTCGGAAGACAAAATTGCTTCAAAAATAACCAAGAAAAAATAGGCAGTTGGTAAAACAAATTAAAAATAACGAAAACAAAAGCAATCTAAAACCAAGTTACGCATCATAATTAAAAAGGAGAAAGGTTTATCCGAGCAAAAACTTATAAATCAAAAATAAAAACTACAAGCATGACTAAAAGCGATTGTTACCTTCGCTGAAGAGCCGTTATTGCCAAGTGAACCATTGATAAATCCAGTGTTGAAAGGTGCTTCCGGACTCCCAGAACGTCTGCTAGCAGAATCCTTACGTTCGGCAGCACTGTCAGAACCCGGTTCTCCAGTAATGCTTTTCTGCTCTTCTTCCGAAATTTCAACTGATTTCGAATTAATCGCATCAACACTGTTAGTATATAGAAACTGTTTCTTCGGAGAAACTGACTGCAGAATGTCCTCACTACTCGAAGACGATATGTTCATCAAACCATTACCGTGCAAAGCAACGACTCGACTTTCAGAAACAAATTTATGTTTAGTCTGCAAAAGAGAAGAAACAGGCATAATAGTAAACAGTTAACATCAGTTCTGATTCGTGTTCTAAAGAAATATTACTGGAAGTTAATTGAAAAAGGTTTGAAATGGAAAACCTCTGGGCACAAAAAAAAAAAAGAAAAAAACTGATTACAATTACAAAAACTTGACAAAATTACTTTTTATTTCCAGCAAAGTCAAAATAAAACAAATTAAACTAAACCACATAAAGTGATTCTCGAATCTATAATTTCTGCAAAAAATCGTAACTTAATAAAATTAGGTCAAATTTATACATGCGCGTTATAACTTTAAAAACAGAAATATAAAGAAAAAACTCACTTCGCTACCATCGCAACTTTGTATCTCTGCACCGTAACCATCTTCGAGCCCAACACTACTGAAATCTTTACCCACAATTGACGACTTGATAGTGCTTAAAGTCTCACATCTATTATCAGTAAAACAACCACTCAACATATCAACACCAGCTGAAGCGGAGCTGGTCAACTGCAGTGTATCGGTACTTTCAGCGTACTCACTTCCCTTGAACACCTAAAGAACTCCAACATTAACTTTAGTTATACAATTTTCTGTAAAGTTATAAAAACAACTATTCTTTTTTTTAAAATTTTCTGAATAAAAACCAAGCAATGAATCACAACATACATTGCAATGACAATCATTTTCCATGACAGGTACAAACTCAACTAAAGATCCCAGGCCCATTGATCGACATATGCGCACTCTCTAACACTAACCATAACAAGCTCACCAGAAGACGTCAGTCAAAGATAATACTGAGCAACAGTAAACATTTTACACATACGAATGCTGAAGTACTGTTTAAAAATATTTAGGGTTGAAAGAGGATATTACGCAACGTATAGGAACCCGCAGATACTAAAAGATAAGGTGCATTCAAATTACAAACGAAACAATAATATGAAACGAATGGATGACGCCTGGTATAACATTGTAAACATGGCAATCATTTGGAAAGATAAACGAGATAAGATATAAAAAAACTGTAGAAGCAAAAACCAGTAGCAAAATCAAGAAGTTATAAAAATCAATTTTATTTGCACTTACCTGATATGGCCATAAAAAATAACGGATTGCTTAAGTGCAATATGTGCATAAGTAGAGAGCAAAACAAAAAAAAAAGAAAAAAAAATGATTCTTTAAAAACTGATAACATTAGTGTTTAGTTTGAAAAAAATAAATAAATAAATAAATAAGTGATCTACTACTGACCTTCAATGATCTGCAAAGGATTAGATCTTAAAAAATTATATATCAATACATAACTAGTACTGGGAGGAAAAAAGCACTTTTGTATCGTTAATTTTTCCAAAAAAAGTTAATTAACAATGTTTAACAAAATTGATTTTGTTCCAAAAAAAAAAAAAAA